GTGTGTGTGTGTGTGTGTGTGTGTGTGTGTGTGAGATTACAGTTTTTTTCCTGTATCAACAAACAATGTTCACACTATTATAAATTATAATAATATAATCATTTTTATATATAAATATAAGAATGTATTATAATATATTTACACATAAATATCATAGCATATCCTTCAGAAAGTTTTTCTTTATTGCCATTTATTTTTTTTTAAATAAGGTTTGATTATATATTAAAAGTTCTAAAATGCTCGATATTGATAAGATTATAAAAAATAAGTCTATTTAAAAAATTGAAGATCTTTATTTCTACATGATCAATGTTTCCGGTTTCTTAACATAGTTAATTCATGTGGTTTTTATCTAATTATAATTTTATCTAATTTTAATTGAAGAATATAATTAGATTTTTTATTTTGCAACAATATAATTATGACAAATATCGGGATTATTAAAAAAATTAGAAGTATTGTTGCTAATTATGATTTTATTGTGCAACTAATGACAATGTCCTCGTTATAATCTAAACAAGATCGACAAGACAGAAAAAAAACAATACATAATAAGTTTCAGTGATTTGTAGGATCTGATATGTCATACTATTTATTATATACATAAAATTTATAAAAAAATATTTAATTATCTTCTGAAAAAAGAAGAAATGAACTAAAAATAAATTATAACTAGACTATAATTGCCAAATAGCTTTGTATAATATATCTGCATGTCATTTACGAAATAATGTCTATATTTTATAATACTACATTATAAAAGTGATGAGTTCATATCATGGATATTGGTGGGGCATGAAAACTTTTGGGATATAACATATAAAAACTGAAAATAAAATTTGCAAATTTATTTCTGCATTTGCTTTTATCATTACAAAACCGTAGTTACGATGGGAACTAGTTGCTTTGACTCAACGTTAGTCATGTTTTGTCAATTTTCAGTCACTTTAGCATGGATACTTCTCGTCTTTACGACATTCATGTCGGCGGGACCAATTCCTTTTTCTATAAATGCTTTTAATGAATCGTTTCACACTCCGAATGAAGAAGCAGGAGTTGGAGTAGCGCAATGAGTCCCAGGAATGAAGGTAAATCCTGATGAAATGGGCAACTACTTTGAAGGAGATATCATGCTCTCAAAAAACGTCATAAGAAACGTTATAAGAAATGAATATTATCGCTGGCCTGGTGATATTATGGCCCTATGCGTGTATCAGTTTTAGTAAGTATCTATAAACAAAACTTTAGTTTTTTGTATTTTAGTAAAAAGAAAAAAGATGCAATAATACAAAAAAAATAAGACTTTTATTATTATTGATTCAATTTATAACTGTGCCTAATAGCTAAAATATAAAAGTGTACATTCAAGAAAATTTGAGTGTTTAATTATTTTTCTTAATATTTAGTGTTTATGAAAGATTTAGAGATAAAGATTTAGAGATAAAGATTTTCATTTTATTCAAAAATTATTTTATTTTCATTATATATTGTCATTTTTAAAATTTTAATTACAGCCCAAAATGAATTAAATGTTATATATACTGCAATGAACGAAATTATAAGTCAGACATCACAATGCATCAGATTTACACCAAGGACTAATCATAATGATTACATTCTAGTTCTTAAAAATAATACTGGATGCTGGAGCTCTGTAGGTAGGCAGGGCGGTGCACAAATAGTAAACTTACAGGAGAATGGATGTGTATACAAAGGTATATTGTGATGCATGAGTTAACGCACGCAGTCGGCTTCTGACACCAACAGAATGCCACTAACTGAGATGATTGGGTACGGATTGATTGGAATATTATTCCACAAGGTATGTACTGATAATTCAAACAACAAAAGATATACATAAAAAATATATACGTAATATACACATAAGATAATACACGTAAAAATTAATTTCTTTATTAAATGTTTAATAAAAGCTTATCTCATTTTGTTATTTATTAACATAAAATATTAGTTTTGTAATTAATATTGACTAAAATAAATAGCTTCTTTGAAGCTTTTCTAAAGCATTTTTTATGTAGCTATAAGAATTAGTTTATTTGAAAAATTCGCGACCTGTTATACAGATGTCAATAATATATGTATACTTTTTACTATGTTGTAATGCCACATCTGTCACATATTTATAAATATTAAGTTTAAAAAAGACCAAAAAATAATTAAATCTCAAAATATATCAATCTTAAAATTTAATCTTTTATCATCATATTACAAATTTTTCAAATCAAAATTTCGAATATACATGATTGCATTTGATGATGCATTTTGAGAATTTTTAATTTTCTGTCATATACGATGATATGTTGATATTAAAACAACAAACAATTTTTTGTGTTAAAATTATATCTTACTAGGAGTAAACATTATTGATCAACAATGAGATTATTCTTCGTATTTTATATATTTATCTGTATTGTGTGTGTTAAATATCTAGACAAACAACACAACTTCAATAAGTATCTGAGTAAGACTCATCATTTATCACTGACTACAACATTCAATACGATTATGGCAGTATAATGCATTATTCGGCGTATGTGTTTGCTAGAGATCAGAGTAAGCCAACCATTTATGCTACGAGAGTAAGTGAATTTCATTTTTAAAACTTTAAAAACTTTAAAAACTTTACTTTTTTATAAAATTATTAATTTGTCAGTAACTGCGTTACTAAATTTAATTATAGAAAAAAATTACAAACTATTGAATCTGCAATTATAAAAGAATGATAGAGTGATAAAGAAAGAAAAAACATTTTATAAATTATGTATGAAATTGTTTACAAATATCGAATTGTACGTGTACATGTATACGTTTTTATGTGTATCTGTAAAGACATTTTATTAATGTTATTGCATTATATTTTATTATTAAATTTTTTTATAGAATATGCAAGGTAAAAAAATGAATCAGAGAAATAGTTATAGCTGGGAAGATATTGAGAAGATCAAGAGAATGTACAAATGTTAATATACTAACTAATGTTTGATACTTCAACAACCACTGAATGGATACAATATGGCAATACCTTCATCTTTTAACAAAATTCTTAATTAAAAATATTTAATAAAATTGTTATATATACTAAAAGAATAGAATGTTTCTTCCGTAGATATCAGCTTTGCACAATAGTACATGTTAATATAATTATTATATATTAAATAAATTATAATATTAAAAATTACATCTCATTTACATCTCACATGTAAATTACGTATTACAATATACATATATAAGTGCAGTATATTTTTTTCTCGGCATATTTTTTTCTGTCTTCACCTCTACTACCTTCCTTGATCACTTTGATAAAATGTTGCTTAAGTGTTAATTCAAGATTAACAACAAAGAAAGTATGATTTTTTAAAATAAAATCTTGATCAAGTATTAATGTTCAAAAATAAAGATAAAGAAAAGTGAATTTTTGTTTGATGAAAAAAATGTTCTTGTCTCAATCTAGTGATATCTCTAAAATGTATCGATCTCTAAAAATGTGTAATGCACATAAGAGGAAGATAATTTCAAACTGCATTTCAACTGCAATTTCAAAATTCAACTGCATTGCATTTTTTGTATGGCATATCTTGAGTAATATTAATGAAAATGATATTCAAATTTAGAAACTCTCTTAAAAAAGGAGTTTGTAACATATAAACAATTAAATGCTCGATATCAATAATAAGAATATATAATGAAATAAGAGTCTTTATTTAAAAATTAAAGATAATTATAGAAGATAGAAAGATAATTATGGGCCTTCACATGGCCCATATTTCTAGTTCTTCGTAGTGCATTCCTGTAGCTTTTATCTATTTTAACTGAAGCCTTCTATTTTAAATGTATGTAAACATTTTATTTCACATATGTTAAACATTGTGTTACATATTTGGATTATTATAAAAATTACAGGCATTGTTGCAAATTGTGTGCTTTTATTGTGCAATAGAGTACGAGTAATAATAACGTCCTTGTTGTAATCTTTAACTCTAATATTATTAATTGTTTCCTGTTATTAAAAAAATTGTTAAAAACTTTTATTTAAAACTGTGAAATATATATCGAAAAACATTTGTAAATACACATGTATAAACATTTATAAGTGAGTAACCAATCCACTTATAGTTATCAAGTTATCAGTTTATAATATATTTATTATACACTATAATGTTATAATATTATTTAATTTATAATAATTTATAATAATTATTTATAATAATTTATAAAGTTCATATATGGAGCTATATATAAAATTATAAAATGTATAAGTTTACATATGTTTCTTTTCTATTTCTTTAGTTAATAATTAGATGCCGATTAAATATTAAAATTTGAAATAAAAACAAGTATATTTCGTGGTACAAATCTTTTTTATTTGTACATCATTACAAGTGATTCATAGGAGAATACACTGCGGCAATGTACTATTTACATTACAACGAAGTTCCTTACTCTATTTATTTTCGGTGGAAATGCAGGAAGATCGCAATCGGACTATTTGTTCATTGCTAATTGCTCAAGAGTTGTCGCGGTTGATAATTCTATTTGATTTGAAAGTTACAATCTCTGAAAGATTAACATGAAACTAGCTTAAACATATAACACGTCAAATGCGTGTAAATTATTATATTTTGAATTGTTATGTAACTAAGAAAAGGTGCAATTTATTTTTTACATCAGTAAAAATCTTGCTAAAGAATTATCTTCGATAGATTACTTATCAAAAAATGTACATTTTTAAATAATACTTCAAGTAATTAAAATAATTAATTAATAATAAAATTATATAAAATTGTTAGAAAAATACCAACTTGTGTGTAATGCCAAATGTTTCTAGCCAAACATTTATAAAAATTCGAATATAACAATCTATAAAAAGATTATATAAGTATACGCGCAATTAATTTCATTTAATATTTGTCTTTTATCTACCTAATTTTGAATAATATTTTAGTATCTATAATAATAATTATATATATTTAAAAAAATTTTCTAAATATTCTACATTTCTCACAAACTTCTTCATAATTTCGTTATCTATACGAGATTTATGCCCAAGGTCCTTAACGAAATGATAATAGTAAGAACAGTACAATCAAATTGTTTAGTTAAACAAGTTCGAGTCAACCAATCCAGGTCTTCTTGATAAAATCTGCCGCTCTTTCACCTGTAACACATGCACATATACGGATGTAAAAAGAAGAAGACAAAGAGAAGAAGATTTACATACCGATCATAATCGCAGGCGCATTTGTGTTGCCGGACGTTACCCTCGGCATAATACTGGTGTCGGCTACTCTTACACCTCGCACTCCTCTGACTCGCAATTGGCTATCAACTACGGCCATTAAATCGTCTGGCGGTCCCATTTTACAAGATCCTGCCTGATGATTCTCTGGAGCGGTGTCATGACGAACCGCACACTCCCAGTAGGCGTCGCAGCCAAACTTGAGATGCTCGCAATTCTTCACCGGAGTTCGATCCAACTCGAAACCATATCTAAAAAGGATTTTTGTGCAATTCATAATACGTGAAATTTAAAAAAATTCCTTTACCTAAAATTAAAAAAAATTTTTTTTAATTTCGAAATTTTTAAGTTAATCTTGTTTACAAACAAGACAGTTTGATTTGAACAACAAAAATAATTGCGGACTATGAAAATAATGGCAAAAAGGGAGACGTTTATATTAGTTAAAAATCTTTTTAAAAATTTTGTGGTATCCGCTAAGTGCGTTTCACTTTTTTTCTCATGTGGAAAATTATAAGTTTGTACCTCTTGAGCGCCTGGGTCTCGGATAATCGGATGCCGAACTTAACAGCTTCTACGAGAGCGGCCACATCGTCGGGATGAGTCAAGTATTTGGGGTAGATCAGTGGCTTTGAGAGGGGATCATTGTTTCGTAAGCGCAGATAACCGCGGCTTTTCGGATGCAGAATCGTCGGGATGATGTAGATGCTGCGATTCGTGCCTTTCTTCTCGCCTACCATACCGGTCTCCGCGCAGTCGGCCAGGTAACCGCCAAAAATTAGCTGCACGTCGGGGTGATCCTCCCTCGGATTAGCGTATTTAGTGTTTATCATCGCCGTCACCTCAGATATTCCTATATAACACAACAAGTATATCTTATTTCCCTCCATTTTCCAAAAATTGATAAATATTATTATATAATTCATTAGATAATATTTTTTTTAGCAAATATATCTAAATAAAAGAGGTAAGTGTGCATAAAAGATAAGTTACAAATAAACTTTTTTTAATACAAAACTTTTGTTTTCCAGAGAAACAACTTTGAATATTTGTCAAGTATGCATTCTTGATTGTAAATATTTTATCACTCGACATGTTCATCTTATTGTGTATCTCCAAAATATTTTTTGACATTAAAATAAAATTCGGTAAGTCTCGCTTTCAGGTGGAATTCGAGATACTCGCGTTTCGGCACTCGAAATGTTTCTGCAACATGCTTTATTCATCCGGATCGCATCTTTACGTAATACAATCGAGCCTCGTCCGAATCGCATAACTGATCCGCATGATCAACGTCAAGAGAAGCGACTTTGCGAGCTGTATTTAACGAGAAACAAACCCTGTCCGATTATAACGGTTCGCGCCGCCGGCGTTTCGTGCGCGGCAACGTGATGGACAGAGCGAGAAAGAGAGAGAGAGAGAGAGAGAGAGAGAGAGAGAGAGAGAGAGAGAGAGAGAGAGAGAGAGAGAGAGAGAGAGTAGAGAGAGACGAAGACGTACGACGACGTACGTACGTACGTACGTAACGTACGTACGTACGTACGTACGGTACCGTACGGTACCGTACGGTACGTACGGACGTACGTAACGTACGTACGTACGTAGTATATATATATATATAATTTTTTTAATATATATATATTATTATTATTAGTTACGTTACTATTCGTTACTAACTTGTTAACGTTAGTACGTTAGTACTGTACGTTATAGTTAGTAGTAGTTTATAAGTTAATTAACGTTAATTACGTACTTAACGTTAACTTTAAAATTAAACCTTTAACGTTAAAAACCGGGTAAACCCGTAAAACGGGTTAAAAACGGTTAAACGGTTTAAATTTAAACGGTTAGTTACGTTAAGTTACCGTAATTAAAGTTTAAAAGGTTTAAGTTAAAGGTTAAGTTTAATTAACGTTACTTTACGTTACGTTACGTTACGTTACGTTTACGTTTACGTTACGTTACGTTACGTTACGTTACGTTACGTTACGTTTACTTTACTTTACGTTTACGTTTACGTTAACGTTAAGTAAGTAAGTAAGTAAGTAAGTAAGTAAGTAGTAGTATATATATAGTATATAGTAGAGAGAGAGAGAGAGAGAGAGAGAGAGAGAGAGTGCCCGAAGTAGGATCGTCGGATAATTCGCATTGACAAATCGTAAAAGGAAAGTCACGAGAGCCTCGTGCGAGGTGGCGACCGGCTTTAAAATCGGCCCGCAATTTGGATGACGGTAAATAGATCTGTCGGTCGGGATAAGTCACGTAATCGCGGGTCGACAGAACCACGAACGTGACCATTGTGCAATAATACACTTTCACTACTCGTGCACGAAGCTCGTGAATTAATGCTCCGAGATGCAACATCCTTCGAACATGGTAAACAGGAAGGAGAAGCAGGCTACTTTAACACGACCGCGTTGCGCCGATCAATGAAATTGCAACCCTAGAGAGGGTCTCGACCCGAGTCTCGAGTTCTAATGTAACAACGATGACGATTTACATTTATTATCTAATCCCCAAAGTACCGTTTCATGCACTTGATGCGAGTTCTCTTTTTAAAGTGATACGTATTCTTTATTCCATTTTCTTTTCCATTTTTTCTATTTCTTCCAATTGTTATTATAACTTCAAACTCTTTCTTTTATGTACTTGAATGCATTATTATTTTCAAGAAATTTTTTTTTAGAAAAGATATATATTTCGTTTTGTTTTACTTTTGGACGATGAATAATTTCTTTGGGTAATCGTTTAAAGCAGACTCTTACCTGTGCCAGACATCAGGCCGTCCCTGAAGAGTAAGTATTCCATGGCAGTCGCCCAATTGAGAGGAGTAGTATCGGTGTCGTTGATGGTGAAGGTCATCGCGTAGGCGACATGGTTATGAAGATTCTTGCCGACTCCCGGGAGATCATGAACAACCGGTATATCTACAGCATTGAGCTCCTCTCGAGGTCCTATACCGCTGTTTAAGAGAATTTGCGGCGAATTAACGGCACCTAAACACACGCGATGATTTAATTGTAGAGATTATGCGGATAATAGCAGCGCTAAATATACGACAACTGATGACACGTTTTACTGTCGGATAATATAAACAGTAAAAAGATAATGTAAATACGTTTGTGTAATTAAATGTTTATGAAGTCGGTCTGAAAGAAAGAAAAATTATTTTTTCACGACTTTATTATCTACTGATAGATTTTTGAAGACGAGGGATTTATCAACGCGTACTTATCATATCTTTTGTATTGTCTTTTTGCAGTCTAAATTATTTCTCTATAGATAAACGAAAAGATTTTATTTTCAATTTTATTTAATCGATGGCTCTAATATAAATCTTCGATTTTTTTATTATTTAGACAATTTACAAAAATTTTTCAAATATACAATTTATTGATCATAGTCTTGTACTGACTTAAACATTTGAAGAATTACGAAAAAAATTATCGCAAAACACATTCTGTCAAGATCAACTCGAATGTAAAGGGTTAATGCAACTGCGAAGCTCAATCCTCTCGAGCACATCTCGAGATGCACAATTCGTATTGTCTGAAAAAAATCGATTACTATCGATTATCTCGAGAATTTGTAGAAAGATAATTAGTGTTTTTAAACATAGATTTCTACATTTATCTACAATCTTCAGCATAGATTGTAGTTGCTTCTCTCCAGCTTGTCCTCATGTCGAAGGTAAGATAGCACTCGACATACTCGAGTATTCCGGATAGAAGAAGAGGGATTTGTCTGACTCGTTTTAAATTACACACGAATGCTCGTCGACTTGAAGCGTTCGTTATCTTAATTAATTAGTGGAATTACCTCCGCTCACGACTACTTCCTTTGCCACCGAAACGTGTTTCATCATTCCGTCGTGAACGAATTCGACACCGACCGCCCTCTTATTCTCGTCGAACATGATCTTCGTCGCCGTCGAGTTCAACATTATGTGGAGATTTGGACGATTCCGGGCGGGACGCAGAAAAGCACGCGCCGTGGAAAGTCGCGAACCATTTCTGGATGTGGTTTGCGCTATGGCGAATCCGGTATGCGTCCTCCCGTTCAGATCGACCGTGTCGTACCCTACAGATAGGAGTGATTGAAGAAGAGTGTGACAAAAACAATCCAACGGTCTAGGATCTCTTTAATCGATCTTAATGGAACGATGAAGGTAAAGGTTGTTCGAATCACTCAAGTCTCACGTACCCAATTCCTTTCCGGCTTCCAGAAGAGCGAAACTCAACGGCGGATGATAAGGAAACTGCATGACCGTGAGCGGCCCGCCGATTCCGTGGTAACCGTAATCCATGTTGTTTACTTGCTGATTATCCTCGCTTCTTATAAAATATGGAAGGACGTCATTGTAGGACCATCCGACGTTGCCGAGTTTAGCCCAATCGTCGTAATCCTTGCGCGATCCTCTCATGTACGTCATTCCGTTCATAACGCTGGTACCGCCAAGGACCTATTTTTACATTTGTGTTTGTGATTTCGTATTATCATTATGGCTACTCAACGTACAAATGTCTCTGACGAAGAAACATTTGCCAATTTTACATTAAAGTTACTTTAAAAACATAGTTCCAAAGTTTATTAAATTTATGATTGCATGAAAGTATACTGAATATATTTTTCTTCAATAGAAATATTACACTTTTAGCTTCAACATAATTTACGTCAAGAATATACTGGCATCGGAGACGTCTCTCTTTTTTTTTCTTTGATCCTACGTACTTTTCCTCTAGGCCAGTAACATTGTCTATGTTCCTTGTTTAAGCAAGCATCGTTCTCGCTCTCGGTGGTATACTGCCAGTCAATATCGCTGCCGATGAAATTGAAGAAGAACGAAGGTATTTGAGTGCCCGTCGGCTCGTCCAATCCGGCTTCCAACAGCAATATGGAAAATCTAGGTTCCTCCGACAATCTGGCCGCCACAGTCGCACCTGCACTACCTCCTCCGATCACTACGAAATCGTACCTAAAAAAAAAAAAAAAAGAAAATGTCATCATCGAATTTTTAATTTATGAACTCATATATATTGACAAAAACAATTACAGGAATATCATTTAATTTTTTACAGATGTATGCGTACAAATTCGTCTACCTTTTTTGTGTTTAATCACAAGATCTCGTCACGGATTTTTTTCAACCGGTTATTTCGGCTCTTCTCCACGACTTAGAAAACGACATTTCGAAAGCAAGATTGTCATGCCGACGCGGAAGATTGCTTCGTTCCGACAATTTACGACGTACCCTCATTTACGAAAGACATGTTAATTAGCACGGTTGTGTTATTATTAAGCGATCTTCTTAGCTTTAATGAATTAGAAACTGGGCTACAGGGACAGCGAGGAGAAATTATCACTTTAGAAAAGTGAGAAATTAAATTCACTATTAAACTCACTGTTTCTCTCTCTCTCTCTCTCTCTCTCATGACAAATCTTCCTCTCTTCTCAGTCGAATAATTATATCAGTCATTATCAATACATAATTAATAATGAAATAAGTACTCTGATGTTTAATCAATCTACTAAATCCTATTCCTAATCTGCCTAGTAGGTGCTAATAATTGTTACGTCATCGACGTTGGCAAATTCGATCGATTTCGCGCCCCACCAGGCCTCCGTATTGGGGACGGTGCACCCTTTCCCTTCTAGCTACGCCTCTCTGTCCGACATCGGGCGAAAGGCTGGTTTCTCAGGAGGTTGCTCGGGACGATCGTAAGTGGTATATGCTCTCAGTTGAATGCCACGGCGTGCCCGTATCCGTATATACATTACGCGGGACAATGACATACTTTTACGCGCGTGACTCGATAGAATTGCGCACACGTATGATATTCCATAGGATCTGCCCTTTAAACAATCTAATTTTTCCTCGAAATCATCGAGAGTTTCGCGCTCTTTTGTAAATATCAAAAGACGAAAGTCTTGAAAAAAAATATCGAATTTAAGAAGAATCGATATTTTACCGATGTGCTTCGTGCGATCGTAGTTATGAAGAAAATCGATGCCTTTCAATTGGGGAACGGGGATATCGTTTTTACTCAGATATGGAGATCTTTTGCGTTTTATCTTAATTTGTTTTATTAATGTCTTTAGCAGACCTAGACTATTGGACATGTGAAACATGCGTGACGTAAATGTAATACGCCTTACATCAGTTTGCTTTAGATATATATCTCGCTGTTGTCATCATATCAAAATCTAATTTTTAAAAATTATCAATGGACATCCGAGACAGTGTATATAAATAAAGGTTTCTCATGTTACTTATGCAAATACTGGAATGAATACGGCAAGTGATTCAGGTTTGTGTAATTGCTGGCGGTGGTGTGTAACGAGAAGTCGAGATACGCATAAGCGCTATTAAACCTGTTTCCATCTTCGCTAAACGGGTTTGTCTGTGACACGTAATAAACTTCGTTGCATGTCCTTCTTTTCATTCTTCTTTTTTTTTTTTTATTGACGATCGCGGTTTTGCAGATCACTTTGCGTCCTTCGTGCATGATAGGCCACGACGGGCTTAGTTTAACAGATTTTCAGTTTTCTTATACTTGAATTATTAGTTTACGCGACAAGCGTAAATGATGACATTTCGAAACATTCGAAGACATTTAGAAAAATTTCGAAACTACATACATAGATTTGAATTTATATATAAATTTTATGTAATTATAATTATTTCCCATAATTGCATTAATACTGTAATATTTAATATAATTATAATTATTATTATATATAAATCTATTTTCTCTCATTATAGTGGCTCGGCGCATTTTCGTTGCTTCTTGCTCCTCGCAAGCTCTCTGCTCCTTTCGCGCATCGGTGCGTGCAGCGCAGGTGCGCGTCGATGCGACGACCAGATGTGACGCAACGAGAAGAGATGCATCGGAACAATGGCCCGCGGTATTACGTACGCGCGTATACAACGATCTCGCGGATAGCGGCGCGCGGCTGGATGCTCGTTTCTTTTCCACGTGAGGGGGAAGGGGAGGCACGGCGAAGAAGAGCGCCGGTAGTAAAGACCGGCTGTGTCCTTGCGGTATTACGTGAGTAACATGCGCCCGCGACACAATCGTAACACGGGCCCGTATTTAGGATTCGTCGCGGAACGCTTCCCGCGGATGCGCGATGCTCTCTTCTTCGCGGAAGAAATCTCTCCCCGTCGATAAACGTCGGGAGATCCCACACGCTCGCGGGAGGAAAGAGGAAAAAAATAGAGAAGAAAATGGGGCGACGTGTTGTTACATCCACAGCGCGCGCACAATGCGGCGTATCGCGAGATAAGGAGATAACTCCGGACGGATGGGAGTCGTCCTCGCGCGATCGTATCTCCCGACCTCGGTCGGATGATCAAACAATGTAAAAATAAGGAAGGCACCTTCGCGAGTCCTAAGCTGATTTCCCGTTGGCTCGAGGTTAATCGTTGATAACCGCGATTATCGGCCGGATTGACAATCCAATTTCAGCCCCGCGATCAGCGAATCATTTAGCCGATCATTTATCGGTGAACATGCGTTTTCAACATGCGTGCGAATGTTCGAGAGATACATTTCTAATCTCCTTTCATTTTCTCTCGTCGAGTCGATGTCATTTACTTCGTTAATAGATTATGCGCATTGATTACGATGAGTGACCGACGCGTGCGTATTTCTTGCTCTGTACTCCCGCCGTTATCGCGCAATCGTCAAACGAAATCGCTTTAAAGGCGGGATCCGATCGGGTTCTTCTTCTCTCATTTACCCGTGACCCATATATACATATGTATTCGAATTTAACCAGCCCGCCCAGAATGGCCTTCGCCGTATGAAATTCACCTCGTATTGACATTGCTCGGCGGTGAGGGTCTGTTACACGGGTCCTCGAGGTCGCACTGGCTGCGCAGGAAGACTTCGAGCAGTCCCATGAAGAGCATGAAGGACGAGCCGCCGCATGTCGAGGCCAAAGTGGGTCCTGTGGACGCGGTCAACGGACAGTTGCAACTCATCTGGAACAGAAACGACGTTGTTTCGCCGCGTGAGAGATGACTCGGCGCAATCGATCGCATCGTCACGTCGAGACGACTTGCCTCGAGACGACGAACCACTCTCTCAAGGATTTAATTTGAAACCGAAGCGACTTTTTGTAGTGTTCTTTCGTACATTATTAAGTAACGTCTATTAGGAAAGGAATTTATCAGATTGTCGCACGAATTAATTCCAAGGAGAACGTTACTAAACTGCGCCACTAAAATAACTAACCGCAGAGATGCATGATCGCTTAATTTATGCATATTACCGATGCGATTACGTAAATATAAGATAATCCTATATCTCCTCACGTGCCCGGAGATAACGGTACTTGTCACAGTTTTTTTTTCTTTTTTTTATTGCAACATGATTATACAGATTATAAGATGATTGCCTCTTGATTGGCACCGTCGCTCTTAACACTATTTCTCCCGCTATCCATTTCAAATATCCTCGATTGCCGGAGAGGCAAAGCGCGTGATCCGCGAAAGTAATATTTTCATTCGGCAAAGGAGCAAGAGCATCCAAACAATATCCCTTAACCGGTCATGCACCAGTGCAGTCCGCTCCACCGAGAGCGCCATTTATCTTCGATTCGATGCATCGCCGGCGGACCATGAAAACCGAGCTCCGCTTCGCGGAGAACAAAAGCCCGAACGAGAGTGAGAGTGCGCATACCGAGACCGACGTCGCCGTCGTCGTCGTCGTCATCAACGTCGTAACGAACATGTAGATGCCTCGTAATCGAGTGTTTTCCACTCGTAAATTCATTCAGCTTCATCGAGGCCGGCGAGAGACGATCGGGAGCGTGCGTGTTGCGGCTCCTTACACGAACTGCACGTGCTTTCTACAATGCGGCGCGCTCTCGGCAGCGGAATGCACGCCGCGCGCGCGTGTATATAGATGCGGTGAAATTTTTTTCTTTACGCCGCGTGTTTCCTCTTCCGACGTTTCTCACAGTATCGGGATACATAACGCCGAGGGAGGCGTAACGCGCCGAATGTTGCCGGCGCGAATTCGCGAGTGAAGCGTAACGATGTACGTGCGGATCATCACATGCAATCACGGGCGCCGCTCCAATTTTCAATGGGAAGGAACGAGAGAATCGTGGCGCAGAAAGAAATCCGCGAGAGAAAGAGAAAAGGTCTGGGTGCCAAGGCCGATAATATCGCAAATAATTGCGATCGTATCTCCGAGACACGCGGAGATATGATGATTGGATTGGTCCCTGGATTCCTAGAGCCTTCCTACAAATTTCCAAATCGTTTATTCGTTTAAAAAAAAAAAAAAAAACAAAGGAAAAGTAAAAGTTTCCCTCTTGACAAAGTCAGTGATTTTTCGTCCGCATCGAAAATCCGTTATCCAGTCCGCTGGATTTTTTTTTCATTAAAGCCGAGATGGATCTCTATAATGAGACACGATTTTTATCACCGAAATCAGATCCGACGGCTCGTTGTATCGCACGGATGTACATGACACAACACGATGAGGAGGTAAGGAAACAGAAGGAGAAGCTGTAAAATAGCGTGACTTTCGTAATCGACGGCGAGACAGTGCGCGGTTCTCGGTCAGTGAACGTAACGGTGTTGAGGCTTTGCGAAGGAGCGTACACACTCGAGAAACGTGTAGCTGCAGGCGAATTAGGGCTCCTGCGATTACATACTAAACTATCATAATGTATTTGCCGCAATGGCCGAGTGTAATAAACAAAGCTCGACGATTAAATCCCGGAATGAGGAAGCTCGTTCTATTTGTATATCCTGTCGAAGGAAACAGTACAATGGTAATAACGATTGTTGAGTGAAATCGAGATATTGGAAATGTCCGGTGCTAATATTTACACAAATTTAATTTAATAATAAATTAAAAATTCAATTCAATATTAAATAAATTCAATATTAAACGCGCAATTCACAATTAATATTATTCGTGGATTGCGCGTTTATTTGTTATATGTATGCATTCATATAAAAGAATTAATTGAAGAAATTAAAGAAATGCAATATGTAAATATCGACAGGGTATCGATATAAATGATAAAATAAAATATATATTGATACACAGTTCGCTCAGTTGCACTGCTTCCGCTGCTTTCAGAAAGAACGGTATACCTGTTTAATTAGAATGATCAGATTTTTATTATCCCTTTTGTGCACTCAACGGGAGACATTAATGCGTTTCCTGATTGATTTGCGCGCCGTCCAAGTCCGCTGAATATCTTTCGCTCGAAATGGAAAATCGCAATGAAGGAGGTAATTTTCGATCATTTAGAGTAATGGAAATATGATTTTGCGTAATTCTTTACGATTTACCATCATCACACGTGCGTGCGTACGTGCGTATATGCATCAACCGGTCATTGAGAAATTGTGCTTATTCGTAATTCTAGCAATTCCGAAGAACGCGCCTCGCTTCCCATTTTACGCAAATTGTCGCAATGCTTAAACCATGGACAATGACGAAGCGAGTCCTCTCTCTCCCTAGAAATTTCCCATCGCGCTCCATTCATTTGCGCTTAGACATCTCGGTGTGATTGAATATTTCTTTCATTCTGTCATCAGGGTTTTCAGAAATTGTTAGAGACGAGAAAATCCTCGTAATCCTCGTATCCTTTGTAATTATATTTATGATTCGTTTCGATTTCTCTATAACCACGAGATTATTCCGTTCTCGCGTGAACGTTAACTGACGTTCCGTATTTTTCTAGTTGCTATTCCCGTATTGTTGTCCGATGTATGTTACACGCAACGTATCTCGTACGTCAATCACGTAACAAATTTACAGTTTGACCACCGTAATGATTGTTTGCACGGGAATCTATCGCAGCGGAGAGGGTGTTAGTTGGAATTTATGTAACTTGAAAAAAGCTTAACGTGTCGGTGTTAACAACGCAACCGCCGCGAAATATCCTTTCTCGCAAATTATCGCACGCTTCTCGATTCTCGAGCACGAAAATGCAGACATTACATGCCACGTTACATGTTTCCCAATGTGATTTTCCATATCGGTTTCATCTATTTCGCTGTATTCAATCTTCATATCACACGTACGTACACTCAGTTCCGACGGATATATCTTCGATATATTGTGGCGATTTGATTACGGCGTAATTACGTAAAGCGTTACGCGCGAGATGATTTCAATGACTCTTTCGAGTAATCTTAATTTTTATATAATTACAGGATATTCGATAACGGTAAATTTCACTATGACAAATCAATATGATTGAGGCGACATTATTATTGTCTTCGGCCGGATGTCTGCCTGATTGCTTTTTAATGAATGTACCTGTGCAAGACTGCTAGGTATTTAAATATCATATATTGAACGATTATGTCTCGCGTGCTTTATAATTTTTATAAATTCCAAGTAATTTCATTAGATAAATTATTGTTCTCATGACAGGTCGTTATAAGTTTTTTTTATTTCATAATCGCGTGCAATCTCGAAACGAAGAGTGCAGTTATGATAATTTAAAAATTACGTTGATAAATGGATTAAAAATTATCGCATTACGTTTTGTATCTCTCACGTAATTTATCGATACGAATCTCTCAAGATTTCCTGCGAGTAGATATCGTTGATTCTGCCGATACGATATTATTATTCATAATCGATGAGAGGAGGACACATATCATACGTCTTGTTACAGTGGCATTTGTAACATTTCAAGGGAAAGGTAGTTTCGATGATGATGATGCTTAATGCCAAGGTATACGACTAACATGCGGCAAATTAATTCTACACCTCCGCGTTTATTTAATATATTTCAATTAATTAACTATATTATACATTAATTAACTATATTATACAAGGACACAATTTCTAGTGGCAAAAACGCGTCAGGCATGCTTTTAATATACATTAGAGATATGAAGACATGGCTCAGATGTGCCTTTCACTCATTTTCTGTTAGATAAATGTAAATATACGAACACTTTTGCATTTATAGATGTACGTATTTCTATAAGATATTACATATGACGCTTCTTTTCCGGTTGATAGATAGTTATCAGTTAATCCTCTAATAAGAATTTTCATGTTTCTGTCGCGCGTATATCGCGCGAAAATAATAATCATAATATTCGTCAGGATTCATTAGGATTTATCGGATATTATTTTAAAAAATTTAGCTTGCCTTGATATAATTTTTTATTTTATGTGATTTATTTCTATAAGAATATTGATAAAAAAATTAAGTAATTAATTAAAATTAATTTATCAAAAATTAATTAAAAATCAAATATTGATAAGAAATTAACTAATAAAACTAAAAAGTAAATAATTCATCAATAATTAAATTAAGATAGAAAAAAAACTTTCTAATTTTCTTCCTGTTTTTCTATTCTTTCTCAATAATAATGATAAAGAAATAAATCGACAAAAATTAATTAAATTTTCATTAGTTTACGCTTATAATTCACATATATGGAAACTGTAGATTAATCATCTCGATTCCACTATCACAAGTGAAGAGTTGCAGAGATCGTCTTCTACAAACCTCGGCCTTTTGGCTCTCGCCAAAATTATACCGGTTTCAAGGTCTGGTAGTTCTTACCGAGTACCAGAGGCGTAAAGGGCAAGGAACTTACCTTTCAAGGATGGTCACCCCGTATCCTTCGAAAGATAATTGCTCGATTGCTGGGGAAGCCCGCAGCACCGGTGCGGAAAAGACGCACGAGAGAAAAGCGTAGCTCGCGGTACCGCGATCAACGGCCGACTAGGCCGGTACCATTCCCCATCGCCGTGGTAATATTCGACAACTTCCACCACTTCCACCACCCTTCTCTCTTCTACTTCACACTCGCCAGGAGCAGATTCGGAAATTTACGTGGTGCGACTAGTCCCATCATAAGGAAATTTCGTGACGAGCGGAGGAACCGGTAGGCGCTAATTAAAAGATTGCGAACGCCTCTGAAAATCTCGTAATGACAAAGAAATTCCGCGACGGGTGATCACGATTACAAATTGCTGATTGTTGCTCGCCGCGAATTTAAATCAATCATGTTCATAGGGATATTCGCTAAAGGCTTAATACAGCATAAAGGCTTAATATAATATATCTTACTCCAAATTGAGTAATTATTAATTAAGAAATAAGTATAATAGTGAGTCAATTTAAATGATTATTTCTAATTTCCTTATATTATATTTGCAACGTTCCCCAAAAATCTTCCTAATTGACTTAATAAAATTTAAAAATAATGCATTTGGTTAATTCACCCAACGTAATCGAGGCGCGAAAGAGAAACGATATCGTGTTGGATAAATTTGTTTTCTGTAGAGACGCAGACTAACATCATTCTTCAAAGTCCGCAAAATGCTGCAATTTCTCGCTGCCATTATATTTGTATGTTTGTTCGCTCTATCCCCCGGGCTAATAATCGCGGTTTCGGCGCGGTTTACAAGCGAATGAATCCCGCCGTCTTTAAAATCCCGCCGTGGAAAGGAAAAGGAAAGGAGGCGACGATAAGGAGGCGGTAAAAAGTATTCATAAATTTCGTGCTCGATCAGAACCGGTACCGTTTCCCATCACGATCCCGTCATTTGGATGTCGCTGATGTTGTCGTAGCTCTCGTGACTGTAATGCTCGTTGTACGCCGCTCGCTCGTTGTTTCTCCCATTATTGTTACGGGCGTGTAATGGAGTGACGCTTCGTAGGAGGATGACATTAGCGAACGTTCGTTATACGTCCGAATAATTCGTCGAAAGGGAACGTGAATATCGCGCTGAAACCGAAATTCGAAACCGGTTTCGAGCAGAGTCAGATGCAGAAGAAAATAAAAAATGTTGAGATGTCGCTCGCGAGTTCCGATACCTGATTTTCTCCTTCGTTTAACGGAACGTTCAAAAGTCGCCTGGAAGAGAATCCTCGCGCCTCGATTTGTCAACACGGCGAACGAATATCGTGTCATAAGGATAATTCGCCAGTTCATGGAACTTCTCGTCTTGAGTAGTGTAATCACTCGCCGTTGAAGGTGGACTGAATGTCGCAAGATTTTTATTGCTCCCGCCTACGTATATTTCAGGACTTCGGCTCCTCTCCTCGCCCGTAATTTGATTTCTCGGGGACGTTTCTCTGACAGCCAACGTATCATTTCTATCTGCACACACCAATAAAGCATCCTGCTGAGTCAGAACCTTGTATTGTATACGATTTCGATGAATTTTTCACTTCCGGTTGAATTAAACCTGCATCCTCTCGCTACGTCAAGGAGGTGAAATCTTTTTGAAATCGTTTTTGTGCAATACCGCACAATTGAACTTTTTTTCATTTTTATTCTTCCGCCGTTCTTTTGTTGTTTATTTTATTTTAATATTGTGCAATCTATATATGATATTTTCAAAATCATTCTTACATAAATCATCTGTTGCAAGATCAACGATGATGCTCGATTCGGATTCTCCTTCGTGGCTTGATTGCGGTTCATTCTGTTCCAGATAGTCATGAATCATATACCATGGTTGCCGTTCATAGTCCTGTACAATTTGGACATAATGGAACATAAACAATTTCAATTCTATCCGCTGAGAATATTTTAAAGATAATCCTTCGCAATATACTCACGTCATAGTAATTATCCAGTTTTTTGCCGCGAATACTCGGCGGAGCAGGACTTGTCTTTTCTATCGCAGGGAAAGTCGTATAATCGTCGGACGAGTCTTCAAAATGATAAACTTTAATATTTGCTACTTCGAGTCGTAAAAAAAATATAGAAATAGCCATATTATTTAAATAAATTTTAGTAAAAAAAAAATCAAATGACTTGATTATACAAAACATAAAATATTCTAGTATCATTCGTGATTATTAATAGTTTCGTCATTAAAAGTTTCTTTTCTCAAATTAAACTTGAAGAATACAAAGTATAATAAAAGTTATGTTCTCTAATTAATCTTAGTATAGCAGATTCTATCGTTGCATAATTTAGATTTAAGATATTATGAAGAAGCAAGAAATCAGAGGTAACAAAAATGATTTTTCTATCTCAGAATTTAGGAAAAAAATTGATTTTAAATTATGCATCATGAATTCTCAACGATATATTTATAATAAAGAATCTCGAAGAAATTCAACTTGGATTCTTGAGTTTCTATGATATTCTATTTGTTAATCAGAAGTAATTCTAGCCAACATAAATACCCGTTAGTATTATCTCTGGCGAAAATACCGAAGCTGTCTCGTTAAAGAAATGATCGAGCGGTAGAAATTCTCGTCTCCTCATATCTTCGACAAGAATCACCGGCTCATACGGCGGCAGTAAAATCTTGTACGGTTCTTGTGGCATACGATGTCTCCATATACCGTCATCTTCGTCCTTCATTTCGAATGAACGATACGGATCGTTGTTTATCCAGATTGGATAACCTTGTCTAATGAAGTTAATGTCCTCCAACACCACGGGAAGGGGCAAAGCGTCGTCAGTTGTTATGTAGATCTTTCTCGGCGCTTCTAATCTGTCCGTGTCACGCAATGTAATTGATTCAGTTCCTCCATCAACGGACGAGGATACCGGGAAGGTTGAGCTCTTTATGTCAGACAATTCAAGAGTGATTTAAACGAAAGAGTCAATGTTTATACAATCGATCTTAAAAATATTATTATTACCTGGAAAACTTTGTCTTCATTAATAGTATCAATCGTTGAAAGTTTAGAGTGATTTAGGTGAAATTGAAAGTAAGGCAACGGCTCCTCTGTTGAAGTTCTCAATGTTTCCGCGATTAAATTTGATTTTGTTGTTGCGATTTGCTCACGAGACGATAAAGTTTCTATTTCATATTTTCTATGTGAAAAAGTTTGCAATTTAAATTTATAATAATTCGCAGAAATAAAATACTTTAAATTCATTAAAAGAAAAATCTCCAACTTACGTCGGAGTTGTATAACGTGTATTTTGTCTCCGCGTTGAAGTTGTTGGCAAAATCGACTGAAATAAATCTTATAATCATATATCATAATCTTCCAATTTTCATATTTAAATTTTTGTCAACTTATTAACTCATTCATAAGAAGATCTCCACCTTTTGCTCCGTGACAGGATAATTCATCTGAATATTTATTCTTCTTTCCAGTTCTTGACTCGACTCGCTTTCCATTTGCATAGTCTTTCTAGCTGGAGGTTGCTCGATCTATATATATATATTTTTTTTTACACAGATACTCAGAAGAAAGAGTAAAATAATTTATAAAATTTTTAATGTTATTTGAAGTTAAAAAAAAATGAGACCTTGTTGTTTGCATTTGCGTCGCGTTTGGTAGATGAGACTGAAGATGCACGACATAATCGCTCGATGGTACAGTTAAAACCCTTACATGAACCTATAATTCGCACTACGCATTTTTGCATTTGTGGACAAATCCAGCCGTAGCAATACTTGCTAATTAGCTCATCTTCTTCACGGGAAAAAGAAATTATCGAATTGTTATTCTCAATTTATGTATAAATAGAGTCTTATCAATTTATCACGAACAGACCGACAGTGAGTGTGCAATCAGGTGTGTGCGTACACCATGCATCGAGACAATTGTTTTTCGGCCTCCGTAAGAAACACTCGTATTCCGAGATGCAATTTAAAGCTTTGCATTCGTCGAACCAAGTTTGCACATCTGCAAATAACTTGTCTTCATTATTATATGCAAACTTAATACCTGCAGTTCTAATACGTGTATAAATTTAAATTAAATATTTTAAAATACATATTTATTAATTCGAAATTAGCTAAGTATTAATTTTATATTGCTTATATTTAATACTAATAATTAGAGAGATATTAATTATTAATATTTAAAATGTATATTTTGTAATATTATAGTAATTAGTTTTTGCTTGTGTGACCTCTCGTTTCTTTGCAACTTCTGATAAGTTTGCAAGGTGGATTGGCGCAATATGTTTCTCGCAAGATGCAACGTTCTCCTGATGGGCATTTGAAACCGGCGCATGTAGCTGCGCCTTCATAATATTCATTCTCCGATACACAACGTGCTATTTGTTGCTTACAACCTAAGAAATTTTCGAAGACGAGTATATAATTTATGTTTTTCAGAAAAATAAATATTAATCAATTTGGTTTTATATATGCATAAATACTCTCATTCCAATGGCATCCTCGAACTTTAACGATACATAAGTGTCCTTTGCTACAACGAACGGTGTCGCACGTCGAAGGTCCCTTCAATGAGTCTAAAAGTAAGTAAATTTGCGTCAAGCGTCTATATTTGCATAAATTACCACATAACTCTGCATAATTTCAAATATTTTAAATTTAATTAAATATAGAAGAAAGATGTGAAAAAAATACAGATACAAAGATATTAACGTATGGAAATTCTCATCTGATAGTAGACGACGTTTTATCACGATCACACGATCTCGAGCTTTACCTCTTCTCGACTTAGAACAATACAACATGCTGGGGCAAGGAGGATCCTTGCACCAAAACCTCCGTTTCACGCATCGGCTGCCGTTCTCGCAGCGGAGATAAGCGCATCCTTTGGAATAATCGTTTTCTGATTCCCCTGATTTTCGCAAGTTATCGTAAATTGTAGTAAATTTTTATGAGAATGGAAAGTAAAGCATATAAAATATTATGAAGTTCATTAAAGAGAAGAATTAAACTTACCGCTCTCGGAAAGGCTTTCGGAAAGTGGGAAGAAAAGAAACCATATTAAGCTGCCGATAAAAATGTATTCACGCCGCATGGCGACAGCGCCGATAGCACTCGCTTATTTCAATTGCGCGATCCACCTGTACCGTTGTAGCTATAGACATAATAGCGTGTAATATAAGCGTGTAATATAATGATTGTAACAAGAGCCGCTGCATAGAAAAGCGTATTGTCAATATAGCAGTTGTCACTAACGTTACGCTTCATTGAACGCACTATTGCCACGCTTAGGCGGATCAAGGAAAAGTCACAACTTGAAATGTATACGTTTGATAAGTCTATATTTTATTCTTCCGTATTTATTTTCGAAAAAAAAAACGATATTCGAGATATTTCAGATATTCGGAATTCCAGAGAGAACACATGCAAATTCGTGGAACAACGTGATGTTTAAAAAATACGAATAAATACGAAAAAAAATACGAATACAAATAAATAAGAATAATAATTATAAAATTTCAACGATAAAGTTTACAAGAGAAATATCATATTTGATATATAAATATTTATTATAGAGAAATATATATTTGTATTATTATCCATTACACACGTATTTTAATTAAAAAATCCAGCGTTACTATTTTTTTTTTGTTTTTATTCATGCGATTATTATTGTACTGTATGATTCAGTTTGTATGCGTATGTCGGTTTATGATCGATAGCCATCTTTTATTTCCTCGAAAAGTATCGTGTGTTACAGTTTTTTCAAACATAATTGAAAATAAATTATTATTTGAATTATTATTATTTGAATTATTATTTCCGAACTGCGATTTAGATTAAGCTTTATTGTTTCTAAACAATGCTTTATTTACACGAGAGCACTGTCTTGAGTCTTAGCTGAGCCATTTTAGTTTTGTTTCGATATAATCAATTTACACATCTTAATTGAACATTGTTAACGTAAGTATCTTAATTTTCTACATAAGTTTGATTTACAAAAAGTTGCGCTAAACTTAAAACTTTCTTAAAATTAATGACGTAAATCGCAGCTTACTTATTACCTCAAGATACTATATCACGAATGGTTTTATCGCTGTGTGGCAGAATATCGACAATATACAATTCAGGATTTATATATAATAATTTATACAAAAAAATTAAACTTTTACGTAACGTAAAATTAATACTATTTAATGTAACGTTAATAATATTCATAAAATTTTAATCGAATATAAAAATGTTTATATCAACGAGTATTTTTGTGTTCTGCTGCAAACAATCAGCGAGAATATCCATTTTTTTTTCCATAAAGATTTGTCTGTGCATCGATTACAATCGAATACTATAAATTTGTTTTCCTTCAACAATTCTCTAAGGTGTTCAGTTGCAGTTGCAACAGTCCGGCAAGTGCGCTGGTGAAACCAGCATTGTAATCCAGAGTGACTTCGGTATAGATGTATTCTGCCCGATAATCTTTAAACAAATCCACCTCATCCGGCCCGGAAACTAAAGCACCATAGAGAATGTGCGGATTTGGGGTGTTCTTGATGAATTCCTGCCATCCGCAGGGCGCTGGTCTGTTGGGACAGGAAGATGCGGCATGGTGCGGTTGCTTCGGTGGATTGTTACCATATCCAATCACGTAACTTCTTCCTAAAAATTTCAAATTTGTTAATAAATAAAAATAAAAAGAAAAAGGAATAAATAAATATCTCTTTAAAATCAAGAAATTCAGAAATCCAAATGATAAAAATTTATTATTGTTATAATTGTGCATTGTTAACTATTAGACTTTTTTTAATTTTTACTTAACAGAATTAAAAGTTCTAATGGTTAATCAAATTGATGCAAATTGTAAAAAGTCATTCCACAGATGAGAACGGAGTGACAGCTAATAATGTTTTACCTTTCTTTGGATACTTTTTGCTTACCTGCTCTGCCCAACATATAATCTATTTGTTCTTTGGCAAATTGACGGTATTTCTGTGAATCACCGATTTCCGGAGAGTCTGCTGCTACCAAACAGAGGAAGGCTACATTAGCGGCGTGAGAAAGAGTACCAGATTTATCGATAAACAAAAGGCCCTTCGGTGTGCGTTTCTGTTGCAACATTGAGAAGTCGCAAAAGGCACGAGTAGCATTCTGATACTCGGACAGTTCTGTCAATTCAGCCAGCAACAGCTGCGAAGAATAAATAATGATATTTTAGTTAAAAATATGAGAATAAAGAAGATATTATCGTTTAGTGAATTATTCACAGCTTTTTTTATACTCGAGAAACTATAGAAGAAAAATTATTTACTTCAACTGGTGATTTTGTCGAGAAAAGGAAATTTCTAACAAACATATTATATTATAGTAGGATTATTATGTTACTAAAATAAAAAATATATAAATAAAGGAAACTGCACCTGGATACCAGCGACTTTCTTGTTGTAAAAGAACGCGTTTGGTCGCTCCTTGAGATGGAAATGCTGATAATGATGCACCGCATCGTCAAAATACTTAGTATCCTCCGTTGCCTTGAAGAGCCAAATGGCGGCCCATGCCAATTCGTCGCCATAATCTGTGCTCTCGTAATATCGTTCGGCGCCACGTATCGCTTCGTGATAAAGGCCACGATAAACATCGGCAAATTTATACAGCTCCTTCGCGTGTTTCAGACACTTAGCACTGTACTCAGGATCGACGCTGCTAAAGACGATGCTCGAGGCCGCGAGAGCGGCGGCCGTTTCGCCGGCGAGATCGGAACCTGCGATGGATCATATAATAAGTAGAATGATACTAAATTATTAGACATTTCTCTATAATAATGCATTTTTTTAAATATATTTTTTTTGAAAAGGAAGTGATGCTTTAGGCATTACCAGGATGTTCCGCATCAATCTTATAGGTCGGCCTGGTGGTATTCAGCTCTTCGGGTCTTCCCCAAAACATATGATCGATTGGAAAATCGCCGACTTGTCCGTACAGCACGTTCTCGCTCACGTGACACTTGATAAAGTAATCGGTAGACCATTTGATAGTTCTACGAATCTCGTCCAGTTGACCAGCGGCTTTATAAGACTCCGGCCATTTGACCGCTCCCCAAGCTAAGAGCGTTGTCGTGAAAGCCATCGTGAAGCCGAACTTAACGAAGTCACCAGCTGGATAAAATCAAAATAATTAATTTTGCAAAACTGACTGACTGTATATTTTTTTCACCAAGAGAATTTAAGGGCAAAAGTAATCATCTATATCGCATACATCTATATTCATATAACAATTTAAAGTAATCGATTTATTACCATCATAATATCCTCCGGTTAGATCCTCGCCATTCGAGCCGCGGTCGTACAACGCGGAATCGCCTCGCCACAAAATCCTGTTGTTCTTCGGCAGCTTACCGGATCGCTGCGCTTCGTAAAACAATAATGAAAGACCGAGAACTTGGGCGTAATCGCTCTTGTTCTTGACTGGCTTCGAACACTGCGTTGGAACAGCATTTATTTCGCATATCAACGCAAGCAATATTGCCGGCAGAATCTAAGTCGATAAATAACATAATTATTAATAGATATTCAATATCAAATAGTTATAGTGGCTAAATATTTATGGAGAGGGCGTATGATGATTTTCAGTGCACATGTACTAGATGAACGGACGCGATGTAGGACAATGTCGTATAGAGTCTTAAATTTTCTATGTAGACTACAGTCTCATAATGTAATCTACGCAATCTGTACAATCGAGGGAAAGTAAAGCTCCCACTTATATATACGTATATATTACAGATATTTGTCGCTTATTAAAAAATTACCACCAGGACAAATAATATGTGTACGCCTTTGTTCTTCGCGTTTTGTCGTTCGCCTATGACGTATCGACGACACTTCGCGAATCGCTGCGATAACTTCGCAAGACACGTACAAACTACGTGACGAACTTAAGCGCGATTCACTTGCGAGCGAAATCTTCGTTCATTCTCAGACCTTCATTAAGGATGAAATTCTCGCGTGGATACAATTGCATTCGTCGTGATTAAAGCGAGATACATCCCGCATGCGAAATAAAACCGATTTTTTTATAATAACTTGAAGATTTGTGTGTTATGAGATACGTGTTTATGTAAATCATGTGTCTTGAAAAAACACGACGAGGTTCTTGAAAAGATTCTATTTCAACAAATTCAAGTAATTAATTTCTGTCTCTTCTAAAAAGATAAAAAAACCTTTGGAGTGTCCGACTCAACATTTTTTTATTCACAACAGTTTATTTAAATTTTTGCTTTTATTATAGTTGCGAAATGATTAATTCATGAATTCGCGAAATGAATTTGTTTAAAAACGGAGGAAAAAGTATCGTTTGTCACCGCGTTTGATCCCGCTTCCTCGTCGCCGAAGTGTTCTCCAAGTTTCTGAGAAATTCTCGGTTCGTCGGCCGTGTAATTCCTATGTATGACAAACATCAATAGCTTCGGCAAATATCGGTCTTATTGTAAACTCATGAATTCCTGCTGTGTGAGAACTTTTCTTATAAAACGTTTTTAAAACAGTCTTTTGAAGCCATAAAAAATGTTTCATTATCACGCTTTATTCAATTTAGATTTAAACAAATTATTAAAAATGTGGAAACGTAAATAATAATAAGCCATTTCTAAAAAAATCATATTTGACAAAAATTTTGAGATGTCAATTATTTTTTTAAATCTCATTTTATTATTTATACCTAACGATTTTTTAAATCTTATTTTATTATTTACACACCTAAGTTTTATATGTAAATTTAGAATATGGCAAGAAAAATGAAGAAATTTTTTGTATAAAATTTCAACAAGAGAAGAAGATAAAGCTGAATAGAGAAAGAATTTTTTAATTTTTATTTTTTAAAGTCTATTTTTTTTGCTAATGACTCTAACAAAACCTCAATCACGTTAAAAACAGAAAAAAAAGTAACAAATATTAATAATAAAGATCATTCGCAAATCTCTTAATTACCTTCGATTTCTTATTTTCCTATTTAGAAAATATTATTTATTTTGTGCAGTAAATCAAATTAAATTTTGTCGCGTTCGAGCATTTAGGTAAGATCAGATAACACGACATAATGTAGATATGCAACAAGTAATCGCAAGTGACCATCAAGAATCATCGGCTGGGAAAACTCACCGTGACGCTCATGATGAAGAAGTCGAGTTTCATTCTACCCTCGCAATGCAGTCGTCCCGGAAACGCGAGTACGACACGACAAGACGCACACTGATCACGTCGATTTAAAAATCTTGTACGTTATATCGCGATATCAACATAAACTAGTACAATGCACATCGACACATGAAGGCACTCTGCTTCACAAAACGTAATCGAGTACGTTTCTCTCTGAAATTGAAAACAAATTCTGGTATAAATTCAAGAGTAGATATTACAAAATATCCGTCCGAAATTAAAATTATAATGACAGAAAGAATATAATAATTATGTCTCTGTAACGAGTATCATACTGCTCGGTCAGTCTTGAAATCTCACAGAACGTGAATTCTTCCTCATTTATATATACATATTTATGTTATTTTGATATTTATGGTATTGCTATAGAAAAATATTAATATATCATTTAAATAAATAAAATACAATTTTGTGCGGAAAATACAAATGATACAGAAATAAATCTACGTGTTCAATTCTAACTAACGATAAATCTGGACTTTGGTGGGAGACCGGAATCGAAATATTTCACGCACTCACCACAATTGCTTTGTTTTTAATCCCTTGATATCAGCGCTGATTGTCGACTTACAATTAAATCTCATGTCGGCGTCATGATTTCGAGGAAGACTGGTGGAAGACCGAGAGCGAACGATCGCGACCGTTTCGTTCTTCGCGTTATTTCTTAAGGCCAAAGGTTGCCTCTTCTACTTCTACTCTATCGGTATTTGTATATCCAGTACTGACAGAATGTACAGGTCGCGTGCTCGTTCTTCTCTCGTTCTACCGTCACTTCGATCGCTCGCACTTCGTCTGGCTATTACTCTCCCACTCCTCTTCATGTGTCCACCACGCCGATCTTCTTCTACCGATTGTATTTAAATGCAGATCACGTCGAACAATCCATCGCTATCTCTACGATTCGAACGAAAGGTTCGATCGAAGCGATTCATAAAGGAACGGGGAGAAACGCTCGATCTTTTTAGCATGATTCGATGAAGAAATAAATTCAAAAATTACCACGGAGAACTGAATTTTTAACTACACGCATGTTATTAATTTTCAAAATCCAACAATATTTCTTCGAATTTCGAACATTGATCTTTTTCTTAATATATAATTTGAATATAGCAAAATTCCCCACATACGGAATGTACATTACGATTTTTTTCTGCCAGGAAAAACAATTTTAAAAAATTGCAGTAGTAGTTTTTTAAATATAATAGAGCAATTTAAAGTTAACGAATGGGCAATCTAAATTATATATGGACAAGAGATAATGTATAATGGACATGTATGTTTCTATTTCTTCAAAAATCTTTTAACTAATATCTTTTACATCATGTTTGCATAATAATAAATTAAAAGCGGATCTGTTAATAAATTAAATATAGTGTTAATAAATTAAATTATAGCGAGTTAGTACATAAGATACATATGTATACTGTAAAATATATATTACGTAAATTAAAATGTTCATAATTTCCAAATATGCTCTAATAAATAATATTATAAATTAATAACTCATCCTTTATTTGATAAAAAAATAACTCATTATTTTTATTTGTCTAAAAATAAAATAGCGTGGAATTTAAAAACCAGATTGAATTTCGACAAGTTAAATTTTAAATAATAAT